AAAAAAAAGGGTTCACCAGAACTAGACATGAACTAAAAGGTTCACGGATTTGGTTTTTGATAGCCTAAACATGTGATGGAATCGTTTTTTTTTATTAATAAGTATGATAGAACAGGCATGTTATCCTTACATTTTGGTGCGCTCGTGGAATTAAGATATCATATGGCAATTTTTGGTTGCTATGTATGACATTGGTTCAATTTTTTNGGGGAACTGACAGCACCAGGTGATAGCCGATATGGTTAGAACAATGGATAGGATGAACGAATGCAATGCCACGAAAGAGAAAAACCCGCCTGCTAGGAAGATAAAAAGCTGATTTAGCACCCCCGTGTCTTGTTTGAAATATGTTTTAACACCCCCGTGTCATTTTTGAAAGATGTTTAGAATATTGCCCTTGGTGTTGCTTAATGAAGTATATTGGGAGCTGAACGTAACCGCTGATAATTGGGTTAATTTATTAGTTTCCCTGTGCAAGATGCTCCAAGTGCTACCAGTTGGCTGAGCAATTTTCTGTTCATTGACTGTTACTTTCAGGATCTGGCTCTTCTTATTTGTATGGTTTCTTTGACCAAGCATGGAAAGAAGGAATGACTCAAGAAGAAGCTGAGGTTAGTTGCCTGCAGTTTGTATTTACGACCTGTCTAATTTGTACGACAGTGTTGGACCATCAAAGATGCCATCATCTTCACAACTATGTGTTTATCTTCATCCGTCATGCTTTTAGTCTATAATGCAGAGATATCTTTTGAAAAAATAAGCGTATTTTTGCTAGTTCTAGATGAAACTTTTTAAAGAAAGTAGCAAAGTTCTTATTAATTTGGGACACAAAGCTTTCAAAACAATGGAAGAGGTAGGGAAATACTTTTGGTAGTAAAAGAGGCTGAGCAGTGTGATTCACATACATTGACACTAAAACCAACTACCATGATCCGTTGTATGCATAATAAGAGCTTGAACTTGCATCTTGCCTATGAGCTCTATTTACTTAGTAAGGTAGAGTAGTAGTTTTCTGAAATTCTCCTTGAGGGGATAGCTTTTCAACTGGGCATAATAGACTATTGCTATGTGGACATGTTGATGCTCTGATCAATCATCTGTATTGGTATTGCCTCACTATTCACTGATCTGCTTTAATGATAATTCTGAAGATTTTAGTTGGATGAAGATTTAATTTTGTTTCACCTTTTCTGTAGAAACTGGTGGTCACTGCAGTATCTCTTGCCATTGCACGAGATGGTGCTAGTGGTGGAGTTGTCCGGACTGTAACTGTGAGTTAATTAATCTGCTTTATGCTTATTCAAATGCTATAATATGCTTCAATGAAATTTTATTTGCCTATTGAGGCTCTAGTAGAAAATTATTTAAGTTAAAATAAACCAACGTCTTAGTTTATAAAGAAATTGAATAAACCAAAGTCTTGCCTACCCACCTTTTCTTTTAGTCAAAAGGAACCCTTGATATACCTGTAGGCATTAGTAGTTGTAGCATCAACTCCATGAAACTCTTCTTCTTAATTTACCTACATGTTTAGCACATTTCAACTGTGTCCAAGAGCCCTTCGTTATGCACAATATGTTTATTTAGGCCTTATAATTTTGGAGTTTGGACCAATTCTAAGAGTCTAAGAAACTAGTGTTTTATTTTGCTATGGTATGAATATGATTACTTCCGCTGTAGGTTTTTAAGTATTTTCTATCCTATACGTTTTCATAGACTCCACTTGTAGGATTACACTGGGTATGTTGTTCTATCCTATACGTGTTGTTTTTGTGCTGTATTGCTCTTTCGCCACTCCAGCATAAAGCTTTTGTAGGATGATTGAGTCGGACCAATTCTTTTACTGGCTACTGTTTTTGCTTTGGAACACTTTAAACAATATCCTCATCTTATCGAAAGAGGTCCTCATGTTCTCAGTTGTCTCGTTATATAAGCATGTTTTTGAACAATTTTGATAACCAGATTAACAAAGATGGAGCCACAAGAAAGTTCTATCCAGGCGATTCCCTCCAACTTTGGCATGAAGAATTAGAGCCTGTGAACTCGCTGCTGGATGTTGTGTCTGCATCAAGCCCTGTTCCAATGGTCAGTTGAAACAAGAGTATGCCCCGATTGACATGTTGAATTTTATTAACTGCTGCTGGTGTACAAGTACTCCATCGCATGTTCTGGATCATTGTTTTTTCCCTTCCCTTTGTCCTGCTGCAACTTTTTAAATCATTTATGTTGACACAGTTCTGACTGTTTCTGGTCCTGTGATTTCCCATTTGCTTTAAAATAGGTATTTCGTCCACACATTATGTTTCAGTACTAGGGGAAGGAAGATTAAGGTGGAAACTCTAAAACTTCTCATATTTGCTTGATTTGTTTAAAAGAAGTGGTTGGAAAATAAGCTCCATGATTATCAGCTAAGTTAGATGGAAAGGAGGATAAAGAAACAATGCTCTTCCTCTATGCGATTTACCTCCCAAGTTAAACGAACAAATGAATGTGTCAAGAAACGACCGGTATGGAGCTGGTTAACCGGGTTCTTGTTTGGACGTTGCATCTGCTTCAAATATAATTTACAAGTCAATATTCGTTTTATAATTTGGTCCAATTTTTTTAGTTTTAACTTGAAATAGGAAACTAGAAGTTACAAAGCTTGTTTGAGTAGTATTTCAAGTCAAATGAAGATTTTCGCTTGCAAAGCTTTGGTTTTTTTCAAGTGAAATTCGTGTAAAGACGTAACTTAAATTTCCAAGTGCTTTATTTCAACTTCCAACTTTGAATAGTCTTTTTTCTTTTTAACGTCAACCAAATATTGTCCAAATGCATAATATATCTATGCCAATTGAGAATGTACCTTGTTTGGTCCAAGTTAGCAACTATAGTGATTCTTCCTTCTTGCTCAAGTTAAAGGAAAATGGGGGATTTTTGAAGCAGACTTAGCTGCGTTTTTCTTGAACCACAACCTGTAACTTGAAATTACAGTGGGGTGCAAGGTTTATCCTACTGTGTGATGTTACACAATAAAATATAATATAAAAAAGCAATCCTAATTCCATTGAGTTGCCTTACATCAGACATTATCTGTTGAAAAGCGGAGAGTAATTGCACAAAATAAAAGAGATACGTTGAGAGCAAATATAGACTTGATCTTTTTGTTACACTGTTTGAGATCGTCACTCGGTTGGGAAAGATCCAAACGTTTGTAGTAATATATACCTATATATGGCAGTTCTAATTTCTAAATAATCCCAAAACGATTAATCTATAGGCAAAATTTGTCTTGTCAAAAAGTTAACTACCATGTCTAGTAAAATTACTTTAATTTATGTTAAGTTTGAATTTATGTAAGATGTTCATACTTCTTCGTCTTCAGCTGTTATTTTTGCATATTTTTACCAAATAGCTATTGAATTACAATTTCAGACTTTCTTCTCTTCAGCTTTGTAAGGTAAGGCAAGATGGAACGTGGAACACTAATTTTTTTTTGTTTTTTTGGTTTCCCACGTGGTGTTCGATACTCACATTTGGGGTCCGACTAAATCCAGATTTGTGCCGGAAGTCCCCCAATGGCGGTAAAGTGCTCCCTAACAAACACGACTTCATATCCAGAACTAGAACTCAAAACCTCTGATTAAAGATGAAGGAGTACTTATCATTCCTTCGTTCGGAGCACTAATCTTTTTTATTGTTAAATATTTGCATTATTACTATTTTGATCATAGAAAAGTGAAGCATGATAGGAATTTCACGCGTAATGATTCAGTTGGATGAATTTTAAAAATAAGAGTAATAATAACTGTGCGACTGCATAATTGCTTTGATCATTATTATTGTTAATACTATTACTTATTAGCCAAACCAAAAGCAGGAAATTGATGGTAAGGATCTTAATCCTCAATTAAAATAAATTCATTCTAATCACCGGCTTGATTTGTTTCAACCTTTATTTTAAGTAAATTTAAAAAGTAGATTATAAAAACTCCCAGTCCATCATAACCTTAATCATGCCATTGTATAGCAATCCAAAACCAAAATAAGATTTAAGGTGTGCCATGTATTCAAGTATATGTTAGGACCGAAAAAAATGGTTTGATGCGAAAGCTAAAAAAAGCAAATCTTGAACGACGATAAATCAGACAACAGATGAGAAATATACCAAAAGAGACATAAATATTTAACGTGTTTCGGTCAATTAACCTACGTCCACGACGGAGATGAGCAATCCACGATATAAAAGAGAGTACAAAATATCGAGAGAACAACCTCACGAAAAGGCAAACACAAGTGACACACTAGCATTTGTCCCGAAAAGTTCTCCCCCCTAAACAAGACTCTCAAACCCCTTATGGCTACATTGTGGATGCTACTGAATGAGAAGGAAGGATTCTTAATTTATAAAAGTCCAAACTTTTTCCTACAAGAAAAAGGAACTAGCCAAATATGAGAGATTTATAATTTCCTTCTACAAGAAAAAAAACCCAATTATGGTAAATATGTTTTCCTTTCCTTCAAGAGATAGGAAAACCAAATATGGTAAGAAAATCAGGACAACACCTAACAATTCTCCCCCTTGGCCTGAATTTTCTGACAAAATAAACTTGATCCACCTTCTTCACATAACTTTCAATATGTCGCATCTCCAAATCTCCATCACAAAGTTTGTCTCAGCGTGCGTAGCACTTTAGTCAAATTTCTCAAACAAAAATCATGATTATCGTCAAATAGGTTGCGGTTAGAACTAAACCCGCCAAGATGAACTTGTCTTGAACCTCGCTTTGATACCACTTGTTAGAACCGGAAAAATCAAGTTTCATGCGAAAGCTAACAAAGCAAATCTTGAACGACGATAAATCGGACAACAGAAGAGAAATATACCAAAAGAGACACAAATATTTAATGTGGTTTGGTCAATTGACCTACGTCCACGACGGAGATGAGCAATCGACACACTAACACTTGTCCCGAAAAGTTCTCCCCCTAAACAAGACTCTCAAACCCCTTATGGTTACATTGTGGATGCTACTGAATTAGAAGGAAGGATTCTCAATTTATAGAAGTCCAAAATTTTTCCTACAAGAAAAAGAACTAGCCAAATATGAGATATTTATAATTTTCTTCTACAAGAAAAAAAAATTAATTATGGTAAATATGTTGTCCTTTCCTTCAAGATATAGAAAAATCAAATATGGTAAGAAAATCAGGACAACACCTAACAATTCTCTCCCATGGCCTGAATTTTCTGACAAAATAAACTTGATCCACCTTCTTCACATAACTTCAACATGTCGCATCTCCAAATCTCCATCACAAAGTTTGTATCAACGTGCATAGCACTTTGGTCAAATTTCTCAAACAAAAATCATGATTATCGTCAAATAGGTTGCGGCTAGAACTAAACCCGCCAAGATGAACCTATCTTGAACCTCGCTTTGATTCCACTTGTTAGGATCGAAAAAATCAGGTCTTATGCGGAAGCTAACAAAGCAAATCTTGAACGACAATAAATCAGACAACATAAGAGAAATATACCAAAAGAGACACAAACATTTAACGTGGTTCGGTCAATTGACCTACGTCCACGGCGGAGATGAACAATCCATTATATAAAAAAGAGTACAAAATATTGAGAGAATAACCTCACGAAGAGGCAAACACAAGTGACACACTAACACTTGTCCCGAAAAATTCTCCCCCTAAACAAGACTCTCAACCCCATTATGATTACATTGTGGATGCTAGTGAATGAAAAGGAAGGATCCTCAATTAATAGAAGTCCAAACTTTTTCTACGAGAAAAGGAACTAGCCAAATATGAGAGATTTATAATTTTCTTCTACAAGAACAAAAGCTCAGTTATAGTAAATATGTTGTCATTTCTTTCAAAAGATAGAAAAACTAAATATGATAAGAAAATCAGGACAACACCTAACAGTATCAGCCTCATTACTGTAGAAAATTGGTATTAGGAAAAAAAAATAATCATTTCGTTTTTCTTTTGTAGTTTCTTTTTTTCGATTTTCTTTCCTACTTTCCTTTTTCGCTTTTATATTTAAATCCATGAATAAATTGCTGAACATGAAAAGTTATTTAAAGTTCTCCGATTTCTTTAGAATTACACTGTACCTCGCATCTTAGGAAAAATTTATTTGATGTCCTTAACAGTTTTAGAGATGATAATCTTATTAATTATGTTGATAATTTATACCCATTCTTGTTTGATTTTCTAAATAATAGGAACAGATCGTGTTGGTTAAAAAATGAAATCATTTTATTTTGAAGTAAAAGGGAAGGATGTAATATGACGTTTATACTCATTCATTGCGAATGACTTTCTTAATTTTTATCAAGTAANCCCCTTTTTTTTAAGAAGAAAATTTCATTACATGCAAGTCGTAACTTTTTACAAAGTCATGGAAACGTTACGTGATTTCATAGAATGTTATACATTCCAATTTTGTGGATTTATGGCTTCTCGTTTCTTGTGATGTGAAGTGATTTTATGTTAAAGTGTTTATATTTCCAGTAGGTGTCAATTATTTAACACTATATAGTGACAATCAAGATGCTGCCTAACTGATTTGATAGCATTTTCCCAAGAATCTGCCAATCGATTATAATATCATCTGACATAATATAACATGTTATTTCTGCTCCAGTTTACCATCTCATCTTCCATAATTTAATTCTCAATATTGAGTTTTGTATCATTTGTTGTCTGTAAAACATCTATTTATAAATTCGTTTTTAATCCAAAACAAATTATTGTTTCTTATCTTTAAGAAAAAAATTGTAAATTTTTATATGCACAAATTTGCCACTTACTAAGTTTCTAATTGATTTTGCTGTGCCTAAATATTTTACCTTCGGTAATAGACAAATTTTTTATGAAGTTTTAGTCAAGTCAACCCTTAACATATATGGTAGACATTAGACAATGAAATTGATCTTTAGCGGCGGAGCCTATAACACGATCATATTTTTCTGATCCCTATTGATTATTAAGGACCATATATAAACTTTTAGGGATCATTTTTCCGTCGTTAATTGCTATTTTTCTTGCTGTGGATTACAATCCCTTTAAGCTTAGGTCAATACCAAAAATCAGAGGAGAGGGAATTGAAAGGACATCACCTGAAACTTTGGCTTATTATTCGTTTGGGCCAAATAGTGGTTCCAAATACTAGATTCTTTCTTACTGTAAAGTCACTTTTAAAAGAAAAGTATAGCTTTTTTGAATTATGAACCTCAATGACCTAGTATTTTCCAAGAAAAGCTGTCACAAAACACACTTTGGACAAGAATTTCTCTTTTCAAACTTGACACCCTCCCTGTTAGGGACAATTCGAT